ACTGACTACTACAATCGCAGCTAACTATATCAGGCATCAGTCAGCAACCGTCAAAGGGACAGTGTCGAAGGTGGTGCAGAAACATTGTAGCAGTTTTGCATCCCGCATTTGCAAGAAACGCTGCGCAGGTAAGATTCATTAATTTACGTGTAGGGCATCAGTTGTTGCTGCTTTTAATCAAGGTCTCTTTCTTACACTTGTCTTGGTTAGCGAGAAAATTATGAGGGTAATGTTATAAGCAATTTTATAAACTGAGGTCGACAACATTGCCCAGCTCAAAAATGTTATTAGGGTTGACTCTATTGGAAAAAAAAAACAAGGAAACATGTACCTAGGTATAATAAATAAAAATTCTATCATGTGTATTATTTTAAAATATATTTATATATTATTTTAAATGTAATAAATAGGTATATATTTGTAGGGAATTTTTGTCAGAAACCGCTAGTTTCCCAAAAGAGAGAGCTTAAATGTTCTCAGTTTCAAGCTAAAGTTTCATGCGGCAATTCGTTTGCAAAAAAAATTAAGTCTAAAAGAGAATTGTCTCCTCAACGACAGACATTAACGATCGCAGACAAAAATGACCGACAAAATGGATTGGTACGCACAGTAGGTGAACCACCCACATCAGTGGTAACAAAATCAGTATAAGCTAGCCTCGTATTATATTAAATAAGTATCGTTGCTGTCTACTTTTCCTTATCTCAACTATCAAGGTTAATTTCTGAGACAATTTTCGAGAACTTTCCTACCTAAACATTGAATTTATTGATTTTTTTTTGTTGTTCAGTTAGTTTTTGTTTTTAATTTTTAAAATAAAATATACATTATTGCCTTAAAATCAGTTTATTATTTTCCTTTCATCTGATGCACAGCCCAGCACCTCAAATCTCTTAGTATGAAAGTGTCACTAAATGTGGTGATAACATTGCCCACCGCCATTAAAACTTAAAATGGACTTCTATTTATTTGAAAATGTAATGGTATACCATTTTGCCGGTTTGCTAACAATATGTCTTAAAATCAAAGTCATAGGACTTATAGTTGCTGAGAAATTTAGGTTGAGCAAAGATGTAAGAAAGTGGAGATAACTTTGCCCGCGTCTGTTTTTGTTTTTTTTTCTCAGCATCTTAGATAGTACCGGTTTTGACGGTTTATTTGTTGCATAGAGTGTCGTTTAAAGCTTCAGCAACCATCAAAATAAAGTGGCTATTTTTTGAAAAAAGTAATAAAAACCGAAACATGTGGGCAAAGATGTAAGGTTTCACCGTATTGTGCCACTGCGCCACAATTGTGCATGCCGCGCGCCTCTTCGGCGCCAATGTGGGCGCCAGCTTTGCGAGCAGCTGGCACGGTAAACATGCCACGCAGTTGTATTTACATTTACGACTGTTGCTAAACGAAAAACATTCTCCGACTAGCGCGCGATTACAAATAAACTTTTTGTTGAAACTGGCTTTCGGGTCGGGTAGAAACAAAGTAACTGTGCAACTGGCTGGTGGCACCGCACCACAGATTAACTACTATAAATAGTTTGCTGGCACCGACAACGTGTGCTGCTGCTACTAGTGAATCGGGTCGTCAATTAGATATCCCTGCTAGGGCCGATTCATATTGCCAGCCTTTTAAACTATTATTTATTCCGTCCTTTTTAAAATAACAATACTTTACTACTTTCTTACCGTACTGTAAGTGTTTAAGTTTTAAGCAGTTAGACTTTTTAACGCTAAACAAGTAATTTTTTATACAATATGAGTGACAAACGAGCACACAGTCCACCTGATGGTAAGTGGATGCTGTGGTCCGTGGACATCTACATTTATCCTCGATTAAGAATCAAAACGCAGACCCTTGAGGACTAAGATGGAATGCCTCGTTTCCAGTAAAAAAAGGTCTCCGGATCTCTACACTCACCATACGAAACACAGCAGCCTTAAGCTGCTAAATTACGCTAATATTCTGTGAGAGCGTGGCCCTTCCCCGGTCGAGCCGACCCATTCATGCTACAACCATAGATTTATATATTACATTTTGATTTATATATTACGTTTTGTATATAACTCAATGGCTGCAACCGTAATATAGCTGCAGCGTGGCTTTACCACTTATAAATTATGATGTAAAATCATGTAGCACATCGATTTTCTATATATTAGTAATTTAAGTTTTCGTATCATCATCATCGTTCCTACACAAGCCCTTCACAAGTTCACCATTGAACATCCTCCTCTATAGACTGCCATAAAGCACGGTCCTGGGTCACTTTGCTTGTCATGAGTTGTTCATTCACGTACTAAGTTGTAATTAGTACTAATCAGTAATAGTTAATTATTTTAATTGCTTGTTCCTGACTTTTAAAAAACATAAGGTGTTCTTAATGTACACCAAATATCTGATAGAAAAGCAAGTAGGTATGTACCTACATCTATAGCTAAACTTATAAATTAAAACTGATAAAATAATAACTTCATTACTATGTATATTATAGTTATATTTATATAAATCAAAAACCTGAAGATGAGATGATGTAAAATAAGCTAATAACAAATTAGGAAAATGAGCGTTTAGGTACCGTTGCGAATAAGTTTTAATTTTTAATCAGAAATCAGAAATATTTATTGACCCTAATATAACAATCGTTACAGGCAAGTCATTGGTTACAAAAGTTTTAATAAATTTATAAGGTATTGTACTATTTGCTTAATTAAGTTACATTGACGCTTTACGTCATAGAATTAGGTAATTTATTTTGTTTGCAGGTTACACAAGAACGACGATTCCATGAGTTGCATTCACATGTATTCGCTAATTTGTAAAATGGGTTGTTCTCAAAAAAAAAAAATACTTAAGTGTCCGTTTAAATTTGTATGTATTGTAGTGTAGGCTGGTTAAACTTTTTGGTAATTTATTATACATCAATATTTTTGAGTAACGCCCATGTCTTTTTACTTTCACTAATCTATTCAAGGGTAGAACACGTATTTCATTATTACGAAGATTGTGTTGATTTTTGTCTTTCTTTTTCGGTATTTCTTTATCCTCATGTACCTCTAATAAACTATATATATATATATATATATATATAAAGCGAAACCACTGTCATTATTATATCGTTCTTAAAATGTTTTCTTGCCGGGCTACTTTTTTTTAGACCATTGATTATTCTTATAGTCTGTTTTTGACATTTTAAAACTTTTATAATATCCGGAGCATTACCCCAAATAATAATGGCATATCTTATTATAGAATGAATGTAGGCATAGTACACAGATATAAGTGTCTTTTTATCTAATAACGGATTTAGGATTAAATAATGTGTAATTTTACCGCTAGCTATTTTCTTACAATTTTTTCCAATGTGATCTTTATGGTTAATTGTGCTATCTACTTTATATCCTAAAAATACATTTTCTTTTGTAGTCGAGTTATAACGAATGCCTAGCCTCGGTTGATAATGCATTACAATGCTTTTATTAGAATTCAGAATAATACCATAAATTCATAACTGTGTGGTAGGTAGCATTTGAAATATCTAGTTACGAGTCTCATATTCAAATATTCATGTAAAATTTCTCCAACTCGTTCTTTGCTAATCTGTAGTTCTTCAGCAACCTGCTACAATTTAATTCTTCGGTCGGCCAGAACGATTTTTTCAACTTTTCGGGTGTTTTCTTCGGTCAGAACCGTGACGGGGCGGCGCGGGGGAGGATCGTCTTCACAGCTCTCTCGTCATATATGACCATCGTATATGAAGGCGCAGAAACTGAAGAACCGATGACACTCTTCAAAAATGTCTCGGTGTATTTCCCTTCTTTACGAGGAATTTTATCACAGTGCGATTTTCAAAATTCCGAGAATTTCCAGATTCGGCTGACATGGTGATATTTGTTGTTCAATAAATAATTGAGCTATGACTGCAAACTTAATTAGTGATTGCTTTTGTAGTACCACTGAGTGTTGCAACTAGTGACATGAATAACAAGCTAATTACTCATTGTTCAATATCCTAGGCCGCGAACTTTTTAGCCGCCCTGGTAGGTACAAATTTTTTTAGCTACAAATAAGTATTTGTAGTTAAGTCCTCTCTTCTTATATCTTTTATTTTATTTTTAAGTGAAAAGGCGACGGCGAATTTATGGGCGTTGCTGGTATTAGGGGCATCCACCCTATTTAAACATCAATTTAATGTCAATGGTACATACCTACCAATCCAAAGGTTTTTAAGCTTTCAAAGTTCATATAGTCCAGTCATTTAAGCCAAAAAAGATTTTTAATCTCAGAATGAGAAACAATAAGCTTTAAACTTGAATCAATCTTTATTTCGGCATTCTAAATGTTGTCCCAAAAGTTTCACAAATCTCGTGTCCGCGATTTAGGATATTCAAAGTCAAGGTCACAAAAATAGGTTATTTTGCAAATTTGACCTTGAATATTTTAAGAAGCGGACACGAGATTTTATGAGACTTGGGACTTGGTACATTTAGAATACCAAAATAAAGATTTATACAGTTTAGTAACTCTTATTCCGAGGTGAAGCCACTAATATGACTGGACTATTAAGGTGATTAGTTACAAATTTCTGATAATACAAATGTTTTACAGTTCAATTATATATAAAATTTATATTAAATCACCATTATAACATCACAACATATTTACGCAAAATAATGTTGACTGATTTTAAAACTTGCAGTGTGATTATAAACTTATATCTAAGCTTTGAAGTATGAAAAGGACATAATACTTAAACGCAAAATGCATAACTTTAACTTGTAGGATGTTTAAAATATCCGCTCAGACAACAGAACACATTCATTATTTACACACAAAAAACGCCGGTTGGATGGATCTTTACTACGCACACTTCCAGTGAAGTCGTTTAACCGTGCTAACTACGTACATACATACGCTCACGCACACATTAACGGTAAAACCATGCTCAGCGCTCTTCAGTACTTGCCGCGACGTCGTGCAGTAAAGATATAAAGGAATATATTATTATGCCGTCTTGCGTCGTTAAGGGGTGTAAAAATAATAGCAAATTAAACAAGAAATCTGATGGAATTACTTTTCATCTGTAAGTGCTCGATGTTATATCTTTATACCATGATATTTTTGTTTTTGAAATGGAATAGGTACAATACATCGTAACCTACTTAACAAGGTGACACACTAGTATGCATGAGTTATTAAGTGGGAATATGATTTGAAACTATATCTCGAACGAAATTAACGTTCCAAGTTTTTTTTAGATTTCCAACGGATATAGAAATAAAAAGTAAATGGGTTGCCGCTATAAGAGTTTGCAGAAATGAACCACAATGGACGCCATCGAAATCCAGTGTGGTTTGTTCCGATCATTTTGTTAGTGATGATCTGTATATAACTCAACATGGATTTCGCCGTGTGATAAGGACTGGATATCCTAAAAAAGTAAGTTTATATTCGATTAAAAAACTATTTTCTAATTTTACGCATGGATTTGCTGTCGATTGAAAATCAAGCAATTTCACAGTTTAATATTATTATTTGATTGTTATTTTTTTTAAATGTTTGTAATTATGTGTATTTTAAGTGTGATGCTAATGGATTTAAACGATGTCAGAAGTAATGGCTGGCCGGTACCATAGAGAAGTAACAGATTATGTTTATGGAATGACTTCGTTTAATGTAGTTTACTGCGTTTATTGAAGGTTTATTGTATGGTGTGTAGAAGTAAGGAGTACCAACTCCCATAGTAGAATAGTTAAAAAAGTGGTCATCTGTAAGCAGTAAATAACAGCTCAAAAACTCTCCACAACAGCGCTGGAGTAGCTACTGGGATGAAATGAACTTAGCAGTTGTCACCGGCTTAAGTGTGCTGCTAAACTGATCAGTAGATCTAAAATCTAAAATAATTTTATTTAGTAAATATAACCTTGAAAAAGTCGTCTATACCACTAATATTTTTCGGTGCGTTCTTTAAAATTTACCCCGTTGCTATAGTATCGCCACCCTTATTTAAAGGTTTTTATGGACACTTTTTAATACACAGTCTGTACTCCTTACTTCTACACTCCATAGTTTATTGGTTGCACTTTATAACCCGTAGACTTAGATCATATTATTCGTATCTATCAAGCCCCGAGTTCTGAACTTTACATTTCGTGGTTCTGAATAAATAGGGTTGCATATAGGTAAAACTTCTTTCAGGTGCATATATATCAGTTATCAATATATCAGTTATATTAGTTATTTCAGGTTATATACGTGAAGGTACTTTATGTTACTTATTTTGTTTTTCTGAGGTTTTAATAAACTAGTTAGTTCAGTTTAGGCACAAAGCAACAAAATAAGGTCGTAACTATACATATAATGGATCGCATCCGTTTAGTAGTTAGGAGCTAGATGAAAAAAATTAAAAGTTCCTTTTTTGATAAAGAAAAGAATTCTTTATTAATATTAACCTTCACAAAAACAATGAAGATTTTTAAGAGTGACATACAAAACCATTATTGCTTATTAGTAAATAAAATAATTGAAATTTTTTTTATAGATACTTCGTACTTATGTAATTAAAAGTCAATTTACTCTGTTTCAATCAAAGGTCCCACTTCTGGAAACTTGAACGGCGCTAATATTTCAAAAACACAAAAAGCTCTTGGGTCTGTCTGTCTATCAGAAGAATGCAATCAGTATATCTATATACAGAAATCGATTACTGTCCGGTATATAAAAATCGATTATTGTCCGGTAGTGTCGCTAAAACAAAAACGGCCCGACCGATTTTTATGAAATTATTTAGGATGTTCGAATGGGTCCCTAGATGGTTTAGATCCACATTTGGACCCGATAGGTGGCTCTGTTGTCGAGATCCAGAAATAGCCCGTGCGAAGCCGATGCGGTCGCTAGTTATAAATGCATATCATCATGATTATTGCAGTTACAGCTCTAAATGAAATTGTGATAATAAGACACCGGATTCTTTGCAGGTTCTTCTCTGCGAAGGTATTGTTTTTGTGAGCCGGTGTGGATTTTGACATTCACAAGAGTACGACATTTTGAGATCTTTAAACAAACTGAAATTTCATAAAAAAAATTAATTATTACAAGAACAAAAATCTATCATAATGGAATACCACTAAGCATCTACATCTACATCCATCGACTTACTTATTTCACCAAATTTATTTTTTATTTCTAGATGTTGTATTTATCTTCCAAACTGATTTACGAATGTCCAGTTTCTCTAAGCATATCGGCTGCCCCTGATCACGTACGTATTCATCAGGCTTATACTTAATGAAATGATTTTGGCACATTTAATTCTAACATATTTTTCTTTTAGAAATTACCCGAGTCGCACAACGAAGCCGTAGGAAATACGGCATTACCAAGTACATCTGCATGTGATCCAGTACGTATATTCAGAATTTAACTTTTTTTTAATTACAAATGTGCGTGTATTTTATCTGCAATATTTTGTTTTAGATGAGTTTGGTAACCGTTGAAATCAAGTCATTAGCAAGTGCATCCTCTTCAAGTTCTGATTCCGTATGTATTCCAATTTTCTATATGGAATATAAATAAGTATGTATCGGGTCTTAATTTTTTTTTCAAATTCTCTTCACGTATGTCAGCACGTAAATCACTCTAACGACGACGAAAAATGCATCTAAAACTCAGAACCTCCACTAACTGACTTCTGAAGACTAAGACTAGTAAAGTACTGAGTAGTAAAGAATATATTTTACGGAAAGCTTAATAGACAGTCAAAGACTGTCTTAAGTACGATATTCGGAAAGCGTTTAGCCCATACAAACGTATTCCTTTGTTTTCTCCTTAGCACTTGTAAAAAAAAATTGTTCTCTTGCACTATGCAAGAGAACGATTTTTTTACTAACTAAAGTTTTTGTTAATAACTGTTGGTGATAAAATAAAAAGATGAAAAATATTTTTCCTTAAAAAAGAACAAACAGGTGGAAAAGAGGGGGAACAGAAAAAAGAGAATATTAGATGATGATTGCGTCGGTTTTTTAGGTATTATCAGTCAGAGCTGCAGTTGTTTTTCTTCGTGGTTTAGCTTGGTCGTTCCTGGTCGTTCCTGGTCAGTACGATAGAAATAGACTGTTAAAAACCAATTCTTCAAATTTCATGCAGCCCAAGTAAATATGCTTGGTCTTAATGTCTTTCAGTTTGGTACGTATGGTCTAAATTCTAAAGCAGAAAGCATAACATGGTATATTAAACATGAAATCGGATTGTTTAAGCGGGTTCCCCTTTACCCACTCGTCACTTTATTTAAAGCGTCGCCTCTCTTACACTTGCAGCTTGTAAAGGGACTACACGTAACGAGCCTACGAAGTTCTTTGGATCAATTATAATAATGCGCTTCAGTGCTGATGGGTTGTCTCGTCTCAAGCATACGTAGATTGTTTTTACGAAACTATGTGTAGAAAGGTGCACTTCTGTTAGGACCAGGCCCAACAGCATTCTTAAAATTGTAGGCAACTAGACGAAATTTCCTCCTGCACTGTTGTAAAATGCATATGACCGGCAGCTAATTGATATTTAATATTGATTTTAACAGTGGTAGAGCCTTTGCTGTTGCACGTATGGGCTGGCTCAAACCAGGGTGGTACCACGATCTCACAGAAGACCGGCGTGAAGTAGAAGTTTTGCTTCTTCATTTCGTCTGGTGAGTGTAGGTGACCGGAGGCCCAACCCCCCCCTTCCTTAGCATGGTAGCGGAGTTAAATATAAGACTACCCCACGAGGGTACCAGCAACTCCGGTGACGAAGAACCCCTCGCTGAGCATCCACGCCCAAACTCCCCTACTCTTCATGAGCGTGGGTGCTTCAGGCTGCCCCTCGTATCCTTACACGCTATCCGTGGATTTCTGCAACATCAGGGGGCTTCATTCAAACCATAACGCCCTTTGTCCCACTACCATCTGGAAACTGGCAAAGCCGGCCTTGCTCTTTCTAACCGAGACACAGGTGTCCTCTCCGATGACTCTTCATATCCTACCCGGGGTACAGATTAGAACACTCTTTTGTGCCCCGGGCTGGAGTTTGCGTGTACGTCAGAGAGGACATCTGTTTTCGACGCCTCGGCAGCCTTGAAGGTACGGACCTGTCCATCTTATGGCTACGCGTAGACAGCGACGACCATCCCCGCATCTACGGGTGCCTATATAGGTCCCATAGCGGTAATGCCGACACAGACCGACTGATCGACCACGTCCAGATGGCTGCAGACTCCGTGCTACAACAGGTCCCATCCGCAGAGATCGTGATACTTGGTGATTTTAACGCCCACCATGCTGAATGGCTTGGTTCTCGTTTAACCGATCATGCGAGTAGATCTGTTTATGACTTTACTTTGGCATATGGTCTTACACAACTGTTTACCTCGCCTACGCGGATCCTAGATGTGGAGGATCATGTACCTTCCCTGTTGGACTCTTCTGCTGACCTCTCATCCAGACGGATATCAGGTCTCCGTTGATGCCCCTCTTGGATCCACGGACCATTGTATCGGGCCTCACGCTCCCAGACGCAGGTTGCCGCCGTGTTTGGCATTATAGGTCAGCAGATTGGGACGGGATGCGATCTTTTTTTGCATCCAACCTTTGGAGGCGGGCTTGCTTCTCGCCGGATGATCCCAGCGTTGTTGCTGATTCTGTCGCTGAAGTGGTGCTACAGTGAATGGAAAAACTTATTCCATCAACTGTGGTACCTATCGGAGGCAGAACCCAGCCTTGGTTTGGTCGCTCCTGCAAAATTGCATTACATCATAAGCAGGAGTGTTATCGGGGCTGGGCTCGCGCATCGTCGTCTCGGGATGTAAATACCAGCGTTCTTAAAAAGAAGTATAATTCTGCTTCCAGGTCCTTCAAAATCGTCAAGGCAAAGTCAGAGCACATCGTCAGAATTTGCGAAAAATTTGTTCGTCTTCCTTCGGGAACACGTGCATTCTGGTCACTCGCCAAGGCTGTCAAAGGGAATTTCTGCCAGCCATCTCTTCCGTCTCTGCACAAGGAGGATGACTCACTGGCCCTTGCCGCAAAGGATAAAGCCGATCTACTGGGCTCTCTCTCTTTGCGTCAAACTCGACTATTGATGACGGGAGGAACACAACGCCGACCATCCGCAGTGTGAGTGCACCATGCAGGATGTGCTGTTTACCCACCGCTCGGTGCGCAGACCACTCATCTCCCTGGACGTCAACAAGTGGAGTGAGCCTGATGGCGTCCCTCCTATTGTGCTGAAGACGCATGCTCCGGAGTTGACACCGGTTTTAACGCATCTTTTCCGGTACTCCTACTCCCTAGGCGTAGTCCCGAAATCATGGAAGACAGTCTTCGTGCACCCGATCCATAAAAAAGGTAACCGCTCTGATCCGTCCGACTATAGACCTATCGCCATTACCTCCTTGTTCGCTAAAATAATGGAATCTATAATTAACAGCCAGTTCATGCGGTACCTTGAGGATCACCAGCTGATTAGTGAACGCCAGTACGGTTTCCCTCGCGGTCGCTCGGCTGGTGATCTTCTGGGTTACCTAACTCGTAAACGGGTGAAGGCAGTAGAGTCCAAGTGTGACGCGTTGGCCGTTAGTTTGGCTATAGCGAAGGCCTTCGATCGGGTTTGGCACGAAGCTTCCTTCCTATGGGCTTCCCGAGAAATTGTGCAATTAGATCACCAGTTTTCTTGCTGATCGGAGCACCAAGGTTATAGTAGACGGTGCATGCTTCAATTACAAGCAGATTAACGCTGGTATTCCACAAGACGTGCTATCACCAACGCTGTTTCTTCTGCATATCAAAGAAATGTTGCAAATCGGTAGCATTCATTGCTGTGCAGAGGATAGCGCCGGTGATGCTTTATACACCGGCCGTGCCAATATTTCTCGGGAAAACGTTGCCGAGTACCAGGACAAACTTGTGTCTGAAGTCGAGACTTTGTTGAACACAATCTCGGACTGGGGGCGACTAAATCTAGTCCAGTTTAATCCCCAGAAGACACAAGTTTGCGCGTTTACCCCTTCGTTGCATATCGTCAGGTCAATCAAATTCATCAAGCTTTCAAGGCACTCCCCTTGTTGCCTCAGCCAGTATCGGAATCCTCGGCGTCGACATATCGAGTGACGTGCAGTTTCGTGGTCACTTGGAAGACAAGGCCAAATTGGCCTCTAAAAAGCTTGGCGTGCTCATCAGAGCGGGACAGTATTTCATGCCGGCTCACCGCCTGCAACTTTACAAGGCATAGGTTCGGCCACACATGGAATACTGTTCCCATCTTGCGGCGAGTCCTGGATAGCGTCAGCTCTAGCGATCACAGGCTCGTTACATATAGGATTGGAGGAGTCAGTCATGCCGGGCTCCCGGGTTCGGTTGTGGTGCCTGCTCGTTTTCGGGAATGTTAATTGGGGATTTTTTCGCGGTACTGTTCATGTACGAATGGGAGCACTAAAGGTTAGACAACCGACAAACCGTCTTTGTGAGCAGTTCACGGACATTGTAGTCCGATCCTCGGAGGATGTTCTGGCGGCTGCGCGCCCTAGACGGGAGGCCGGCTATGAGTGGTGGACGCCTGAACTTGATGGAATGAGGAAGAAAGTACGAGAATGGTATGGCAAAGACCAGAAAGAAAGGAAGCAACCAAGTGTAAGCGCCGGAAGAGCCCGGGGGTATTCGACTAAGAGTTTTCAGGCCGTACTTTACACGAGCGAGTCGCAGCGCAAGTATGTACAGGCCGTCTTTTTAAATATATCCGGGGCCTTCGACAATGCATGGTGGCCGATGATACTTTTGAAGGCCAAACAGGGAGGGATCTCATTCAACAGCTATCGGATGTTGGTAGATTATTTCACCAACAGACGGGTGGGTATCTTTGTCGGCGAATGCGTTGAATGGAAACACTCGACCATGGGCTGTCCGCAAGGATCGGTTTTAGGACCGACCCTATGGAATTTACTGCTGGATGATCTGTTGAGGCTGCCATTTCCTACCAATGCGAAGATGATAGCGTATGCAGACGATGTAACACTCTTGATTGAGGCGAACTCTAGGGCTGACATAGAGAATACGGCCAAGTTTGTACTGGAGCTGGTTAAGCCATGGGGGGGAGGAAAGGAATCATCTATCCTTTTCCTCCACAAAGTCATGCACAATGACCCTCAAGGGCAGGTTCTTGCGACCCCACCTGTAATTAGGATGGGAAGCAACTCAATAAAAAGCGTAGAGTCGACTAAAGTATTGGCCGTTACGCTAGACAATAGTCAGTCCTTTATTAAGCATGCGAAGGACATGGGAGATAGGGCCGGGAGATGCTTCGGGAAAATGCCGCGGATGTCGGCGTCCTCCTGGGGCATTCGTTACCCGGCTCTTCGTGTTTTTTACATTGGAACATATGTTCCTATAGTAACTTAAATATTAAGCGGTAATAATGGTAAATCGGGTAAGGAATTATACGGTGCGCACGTCACTGCTCAGATCACAAAGGTCTTCACTCGTTTTGTTGACTAAGAGCTACAGGACGATCAGCACTGCGGCACTTCCGGTACAAGCTGGCGTCCTTTCGGCTGACCTAGATGTGACACGTGCTGGTAGGATTGACCTCGCGCGTGCGGAAGCAGAAAATGGGGAGTTGAGCAGGCGTAAGCGCGAGATTTGGGCGGATGTTATGAACGTTTGGCAAGAGAGATGGGAAAAAGAGACGAATGGAAGGGAGCTTTTCTGTTTCTTCCCGGACGTGTCGGCGCGACTCAACGCAAGTTGGATTGTGCCGGACTATCAAGTCTCGCAGATGCTCAGTGGGCATGGATGTTTTGGGGAGAGACTGTATGACATGAAACTGGTTGAATCGGGTATGTGTGATTGCGGTGCTGCCTATGAGGATAGGCATCACGTGCTATAGGAGTGTGCGTTGTATGACGACCTGAGATGTAAGATGATGATTCTCGGCGACCAAGCTTTTTCCTTTCGGCTTGACTTACTGGCACTGCGAAGAGATGTTGCATCTTTTTGCGTATTTTGTCGCATCTACCACGGAGAGTGATCTGAGGAATTGTTCGGACTAATTCCAGCCGCACAGTTTCACCATCGCACATCGCGACAAAACTCGCGGTACCATCCATACCATCTGTATGACTAGCGGTCCACCACTAAGCGATTTAAAATAAGTTTTCTTCCTCGCACAACTTCTTTGTAGAATCAACTACTACCAGAGATTATTCCGGACCGAAACGACTTAAGGACCTTTAAGAAAAGAGCCTATTCCTTTTTAAAAGACCGGCAACGCATCTGCAATCCCCCTGGTGTTGCAGCTGTTGGGCGACGGTAATCACTTACCATCAGGTGAGCCGTATGCTCGTATTCCCCCTCTCCTATAAAAAAAATTTACTGTGTGTCATATACATTAAATTAAAGTATTTAGTGGATAGAAATAAATGGTAACTCAACAATAGAAAATTTTATATAATTTAGTAATATATTTTTAAATAATCATAAATGAGTAATTGCAATGACACAAAATGCTTAAAAAGGCATATGATCGACAGTGGACTTTAAAAAGGTTGGTGATCTAACATTAATTTTTTTAATTTAACGCAATTGTTTATTTTATAAAAATATCATAATTTAACACGTAAACTTTTGTTGAAGGAATTACCCGAGTCGCCTAATCTTGATAGCAAACAAATAACGCCAGGGTCCAACGCTTCAACTCCATCTGCTTTCGTACGTATTTCTGCGTTGACAATCTCATAAAGTATGTTTTATGAATGTAATTTAGATATTTTAGTTTTATTTTTAATTCTTTAAGGTGCTTTCTACTGTAAAATCACAAATGATCGGGCAACAGAAGTCAGACGATCAAATGAGTAAAAAAGAAATGAGAATAAAACTTAGAAGACAGTCTAACCTTATAAAACACAGCAAGAAAAAAATTAAAACCTTATTACAAAAGATCAGACGCCTTCAAAAGAGGAACAAATCTCTAAAAGACATAATACACAATTTAAAAAAAGAAAAACTCGTCAGAGCAGAAAAGATACTTTCAACGCTTGCTTCTCGTATGTAGACAGGATCTGAACAGCGTGTGGTCTTGTCCTAACAGGTGAACCAGTTTCAATTTTTTGAGAATCTACGTGAGGGATTAGCCTGTTAGGCGTTTGCTGAAGTCATGTATAATGAGTTAAAAAATTTCTATAGCATCTGGATTTGAAAATTACGGTAACAAACAACTGCGTCCATTTTTTTACATTTAGCGACAGCTTTTAATTGAAAATAGCCTAATGGTTAAAGGTGGTAACTGCAAACTGAAATTCGCGATTTGAACACTGTAGTGAACCACACAAGCATTAAAGCTTACCTGGAGTGGTGAAAAGGACTACGAGTGATCATAGCATTACTAGTATATGTTAGAACAGTTAATATTATTGCTGTTTATAAACTGTAACTTACATTATATGGCTCAATGTAGTGGCTTCCCCAGGTGGCACCGAGTGCGGATATTGTTGTGTCACCACAAGAACAAAAACTATTTAAAGTTAATAAAAATCCTATAAACGTAAAAACTGTTGTATAATTTTAATTACTTTCATCAATCCATGACAGCCTTCCTCAAGTCCACTGATGAATATTTACCTCCTACAAGATTCCATATACGACAATAACAATGTTTTTCTGACACTAGCCATCTTTGCAGGACAAAATTACTGGACCTACGAGGCAGTAGTGCCAAATCAATTTCAAAATAGTTTTTTTTAATTGGCCTTTACAAAGCATTTTTTAAACGTCAATAAAACCACGCCATCGCTTCAAAAACACCTCCTACTGTGGGAGACCTTTAGAGAAGAATATATTGTAAGTGTTGTTGTATTATATTAAATATGAATGAAAGTGAAAGTTAGAAAAGAAAGAAGAAAGTGGAAGTTAAGTATAGCAACAGAAAAAATGAACGTAGAATTTATAAACTCATATACGGCTACGTCGTCGTCTGTCGTCGCGCCTACGTATAAGGTTTTAAAAAACGAACCTAAGCCTAAATCACGTTATCGAAATTTCCGAATTACTGCACTATCAACTAAAACAAAAAAACAAGTTCAGTTCTATACTACCACAATAAGCGTTCCCAGGACTAAGAACTGCATAACCGACTGGAATACTTCCCTTTCCCAACCAAGAATTAAGTCGTAGTCACCCGACGTGATTTGAACACGCAACCTTGGAAAACTCGAAATTCATAATTGTCATTGTCCTGAATGAATACCTTCCATACCGTAGACCATGGAGGTTAGAGAGAAGGAGAACGAACGCTATGTGCATGGAGTATAGAGGTAAGGAGGACAATCTCCCATAGGAGAATAGTTGAAAATATGTCCATCCGTACGCAGTAAATAACAGTTTAAAAACTCTCCACAACAGCGCTCGAGTAGCTACAGGGCATGAAATCGTAAAATGCGCTGAGAGTGATTTTGAAAATAAAAATTTTGAAAGCAATAAAATAATTAGTGTAAAAAGAATTATGGTGAAAGTCTGTGCAATAACAAAATTATAAAAACTTCTTTCAAATTTCGACTGTAGCTAGTGTGCAGTACAGTGTACCCTTGTTTAGCGTTTTCCTATGGACATTTTTTATGCAGAGTCTATACTCCTTACTTCTACACTCCATAGCTACGTCCTAAATTATTAGCCCACTGTCCCTGAAAATTTGTAGAATTTTTCCGCGCTGCCGTCGGTAAGTAGTATCTGCGAAATTAGCTGTTTATGAGTACAAGTAGATGAAGGTACAAATGGTGAGAAAATAATCGTGCTCCGTAATTTTTCAATTTTTGACAAAAAACATTAAAAAATGGTGAAATTATAAAAATAATAATTATAAATCAATAACAATTAATAATTTATGTTTGTAATAATTTATAATAATTAAATTATAATATTATATTTTTTTAAGTTTAATGTTGCCATTTTAAAATTATCGAGATGGTATAAATAATTGAATGTTTATCGATTACCCGCTAGCTCAGGCTCAGAACAGCAAACAGGTTATATCCAAAATACGAAGTTCTCCTAACAACTTAGAAGTTAAAATGAATAACTAACAATTATGTAATAATGTTTTCAGACTATAAATTAATTTACATTATATTTAATATATGGTTATATGCAGTTAGCACATTTTTAACTTTATTTTTTCACATTTAGATTATTTTTATTTTATTAAGATCATTTCTTCACATACACGTACGTAAAGTAAGGTGGAAATGGGCAGCTTCTTCCAGATAACTTAAAATAATAAAATACTAAGTTTTTTTAGTTGTTATGGATGGATAGATGTATTGTAGAATTTTGAGTTGTTATCAGAAAGCTGCTGCCCATCTCCTGTTTTATTTACCGCTGTGGCTTCTCACTATACTCACGAAATGATATGAGACAGTAGATTATCCTATACCGCCACTATATAGCAAGGTTTTTTTCCTAATTGATTCACACCGAAGAAATTAGTATTTTTACTGACTTATGTCACGGGTTGCTATACTACTTTTTATTAATCAATATATTCTTTATTATACGCTTAAACATATTAAAACAAAAACAAAATGAAATTAAGAAGATAGAATGTACAATAGGTGGACTTATCTCCGCGCAAGGGATCTTTCAGACTATCTTTTTGCGCAAAGACTTGCTTACAACGAAATAAGGGAGGTGTACATAAATCAGAGAATTAAGTAATTATCTTTATATTATATTATATTGTTACAAAATTTTAATATTATAAAACATTTGATAAAACTATCACAAATATTATTGTATTTTATTGATGACTTACTAATAATATCACACAAAAATTACTTAAATACCGTATTAAGTTGAAATTATGTGGTTTTTTATATTTAACTAAATATGCTTTAATATCGATTTGAAATCGATTTTTAACAGATTGATAAGGCAGCATTATACTTTTTGAATGTCTAGTCAATGGCCTAAAGGTCTAGATACCAGGCCATGAACTCCAAAAAAAAATTCTAATCAAAATCAAAATAAACATTTTTTTTAACATTAATCATAGATAAATAAATATGTAGACATTAATTTAAACGTCAATATTGTACAAACAATGATTTATTTTATTCGTTCGTAGTGAATATACATATTCCTAGTTCATAATTGTTATTTTTAATTTGTGTTCTTCTTCTTCTTTTAAATTATGGCTTCTCTTGATAGAATTCTGCAATTTGTGTTGTAATATTCTCTCAGTCAATAACCATAATGTTTTAGATGTTTTATTTGCGTTCACTGTCATTTCGACTTTTAAGGTATCCAGTGATTTTAATCCTTTCAGGCTTCCGAAGTTTTATTTGCTTAGCATTATAATTTTCTTCTTTTTATTCATACTCCATACTGATTTTCGAGTGTTTTAAATCCTAACGATGAGGGAGATGGTTTTGCCGTTTTCATTTTTTTGGTTGGCTGTAGTAGTTACAATGAATAAAAAATATCAGAGTATAAAATTCACTTCAATAAAACTGAACTAGCTACTTATTATTAGGCAGAATGGACTAGACTGTTAATTCTTTTGCTACAAGTGATTAAAAAACAAGATAAAAGCAATTGTAATGAATCTACAATATTGTCATAATAAATATATCTTAATACCTACTAAAACATATTTTAAGTAGTAGGTTTTCAATTGTTTTAGATTAGTAGTTTCCAAAAAAATTATTATTATTAAGAACCTTGGATTTTGTGTATTTGGTCATCATTATATCTCGCAAGTGGACCATCCCTTCAGTTAGTGTTGTTTCCATTAGTATAAGGCAGATATAAATTATTGTGTAGTTTTTAAAGGTATCAAGTTAGCAAAGTGTTTGCTGCATATCCTGGAAAGCTGCTACTAGAAAAACAATGATTTTTAAAAGGCCTTTGTTGCAAGGAAATCAACATGTAATATTGTTCAAGAATGTCATTATACCATTGTCACTACCATGTACAAAACACAAAATAGACTGTCCTGGCAGAGCTATCCTGCAGCTATATTATGGTTGTAGTACTAGGTCGGAGAGACTGGGGTAGGACCATGCATGCAGGATACCATCACAAATAGCCTAATGCTGCTGTGGTTTGTATGGTGAGTGTAGAGAACCGGAGACCCTTTTCACTGGAAGGGCGTTCCATCGTAGTCCTCAGAGGTGATAATGCATCTATCAGGTGGACTGTGTGCTTGTTTGTCACCCTTTTTCTAATTAAAAAACCTAATATTACTTCTAGAGTCTTAAATAAACTGCTATTACTACTAATTACTGCATATTTTTTGTTATCAATGAGCAGGAAGTTGAGTAACACATTTTCAGTAAAAGAAATATTGTTAGGAGCATAGATTGTATGTATTATCTGTACTCTCATTACTATTTGTATGTATATATAGGTTATTGAAATGATTGATATTGGAAATATTGACATTATGCAACTAGGCACATTTATGAATAGAATAATTTTTATTCAATATAAATTACAAGTAATTCTTTTTGAAAGTAATTATTGAAGTGAAAATTAGAATTGATGTGATGTGATGATAAAATGAAAAAGCGACACCAAAATTAGATAAACTTAAATATCTAGAGGATTTTACCTGTGGGATAATGAGACGGAATACAGTGTAGTATGCAACACAAGCCTATTGGCAGGGATGGCCGAAATCTCAAAAGGCTATGTGTTTGAATTCAATATTCAACTACTGTTGTTAACCATTCAGCATACCAGGAGTGGTTTTTTTTTATTAGAAGGGTGACAAATGAGCACATAGTCCCTCCTGACCACCCCTGAGGACTAAGATGGAATATCTCATTTCCAGTAAAAAGGGTCTCCGGTTCTCTATTATGACTATAACCCCCCCCCAAGGGAGTGAACCTTGTCGCGGTGGGGGGGCTTAAAGAGAGCAGACACTAGTACTAGATCTGAAGATCTTGATCTAATACCCCAAGTGAGAGATACCAAACATTTAATACCAATAACATCTGGACCAATTCTCTCTCTGAACTAATCATTCCCAACACAAACCCACGAATTCGCACAGTAAAA